AGCAGAAACCTTTCCAAGCAAAGTGTTCTACGAGGGGCATTGTGGAGTGCAGTGTCGCTTGGAGGCTGCATCGGATCGTGTTCGATTTCATTGCAACTTGCTCTCCGCATTTTCTCGTCTGGTGAAAGCGCATGGCAAAATCTCTGCGGCTTCGAAGGCCGATATCCTGCTTGCCTTCGAAGTGTTCCATCCCTGTCGTCGGATGTTCACCACCTTCGCTTTTCTCACTTCCCCTTCGGCCCGTAGTGGCATACACAGACCGGAGCAGGTATTCGCTGAAGCAGCACCTGTCGATGGTAGGCCTGATGTATCGGCAGGGAGGCACCGGTTTGATGGGTTGGACCTGCAGCTCCAGACCCGGCCGTACGTGGCCATGAAGAAGGTCTGGTTGCCTCTCCAGGGAGGCGACGATCTATCTCCTTCCGTAGGTCCCCTTGTGCTGCGGAACTCAGACGAATTCGCAAAGCATCTTTTGGATTTGGGCGCTTCCGTGGATTCTTCTGCTTCCACGGTACAGATCACGAAGTTGCAGTTTCAGGACCTTTGGCCTTCCAGTGTTCGTATCCTTGGAAAAGACGAGGGCATGCAGCCCATTGTGGTAGATGCAAGCGAATCAGCCGATGATGCCGCAGATTCAGAAGTAGATGCAGCCCCTGAACCAGTCGATGATCCCACGCAGGATGGGGAACTAGACTTCCTCGCATTGATGGATGCACAGAAACCCAAGCAGCCACGTCGTACAAGGCGTGCAAATCGCAACATTCATGTGCCTGAAATTCCTGCAAGCAGCGATGATGTTCTGGCTGATCCAGAGCTGCAGTCCATCTTGGGGCCTCAGGAATTTCAACGAATCCGCGAGGTCCTGGACTTGTGCACTCAGCAGATTCCAGGTGAGTTCGTTGAAGGGATGGGCGAAACCGGTCCTGATCAGGGAAATGAGTCCGACAGCGAGATTGAGCAGGAAGCTCCGCTTCCTGCAGGTGCTCGGGCTCCTTCAATCTCAAGTTCAAGTGCAGGTACCCGGAACGATGTCTCACCCGTCCATAGTAGGCTGCGTAGTGACGGTTATTTGCATGATTCGCATGCTGCTGCTGCTGAGGAAGCTTCCTCAAGTTCGACACAGCCACCTGTGAGATTTCAATTGCTCAGGCGAGAGACAGATCTCTCGGAGATTCGACTTGTAAGAACAGGTCGTCCTATGGAGCCGTGCCGTGTAGAGCGAGTGCGGCCTGATGGTGCTGTGCAAGTTTTAGGCATTGTCAAGCTTATGGTGAAGAGAGACTCGGGGCACGAGTCATACCAAGCTGTGTGCAAGGTCCACTCGGCTTGTGTTTGTTGGTTGAGCAAGGCAGACCACCAGGATCTTTTGATTGACTGGTTGAGCCATGCCCATTTGCACGAATACCATGATCATCATCAGTTAGCAGTTTCTTTGAAAGCATCCATTGGGATGCAAGTTCGTGGTGCAACTCAGCTTCGCCGATGACTCACAGCTCAGCTCCAGCCCCTCAAGCCTTGTAGCGAATGCTTGCACTCCAAGTATGTAGGCTGATTTAGGACAGGGCTTAGTCGTATAATAGCAGCAAAGCCAGTAAAGCATTTACAGTCAGTAGACAGTATACACTTCCTTACTGGTTCTTAGATTCTTACTTATATAAACACTTCTTTTCGGAGTTGATTCTGTCGCATGCTACCTGTGCCTATATGCATTATATGCCGTAGTATATGCCTGCCTATGCCTATGCCGCTGCCCGATGCCGATGCCGCTGCCCCCCCTGCCTCTGCCAGCCTATGCCCTATGCCCAGTGCCTTTGCCGTTTATGTTTGGTACCCTCAGGAGACTAAGGAGATTCTTAAGGACTATCTATGACTAGTCCCCGCACTAGATGCTGAAGCTCGAGTCAGGCAGCTGCCAATTCAGGACAGGCACAGGCCTCCGAGCAGGCCTAACCCTAACCTCAACTCGTCGCCTTTGCATAAACACTTATATATCACTTATCTTACCTACTTATCTTACCCTCGATAGGTCCCAGTCCCAAACCCGAACCCTGAATGCCCCACCTTCTAGGTGTCGCTTGTGCCGGCATGCGCTTGGGTACGAGGTTCTCAGCGCTTTTGCGTGGTTCTGATATGACATATGACTATCGTCGACTATCGTCATCTGTATTCGTTAGGTTTTATAGTTGAAGTAATAGTTATAGTTCTCTAACTTGTGTTATATCCTATCATTCTATTCTCTTATAATATGATATTTATGAGTTTATGAGCTGATATGATATGTTATGATTAAATTAAATTTGATAATATAACCCTAAACCCTAAACCCTAAACTAACCCTAAACCCTAAACCCCAAACCCCAAACCCCAAACCCCAATCCCTAAACCCTAAACCCTAAGCCTAAACCCCCAAACCCTAAACCCTGAAGCCTAAATCCTAAACCCTAGTCAGAGTGTCATATCAGGTTCATCTCGCAAGATCTGTGCAGCAGACGCTGTCAGGGCTCGCGAACTTTTCGCCTTTGCCTCTGATGAATTTTCGCTGCGAGTCTCCAGAGTTGTTCAAGTCAAGTCGTGTTGCAAGAACAATCGGAGCAGAGAGCCGGTGATGAAACATGTGGACCATTTCTTGCAGAGCTTCAAATCACCAATATCCCGAATGGGCCCCGAGTCTTAAACCTGAGACCTGGATCCTCCGACACAATCCTTGATCCATAAACCGTCATAAACCCCAAGCCCAAAAGCCAAAACCTGGCCCAGCATTCCTCAAGGTCCTTACAAAGCCCTTGGAAGCCCCCGAAGAGCTCAACGAAAGCACACCAAAACTGCCCCAACATGGAGCCCGAACAGCCCCAGATTTGCTCCTTATCCGGGGCCAGATAAGGGACAAATCCGGGCCCCAGGATAAGCGACAAATTCGTGCCTCTTCTCTACGAAACCAAGCATTTGTCGCTTGTTTGTCCTACCAGATTTGTCGCTTATCCGGGGCCCAATAAGCGACAAATCCTGCGCTTTTGGGAGTGCCGTTGGAGAGTCCGTTTCGGCCCTTTTTTCCACTGCTGGGTCCGGTGCTTTGGACTTTAGACTTTAGAGAACCATGCCCATGGAGCCGTCGTCTATGGACTTATTCATGAACGGTACCGACTGGTTCTGGACCCACTGGACTTCAAGCGATGAAGAAGAATTTGGATATCATTCGGATTCTGATTCTGATGTTGATCATGGGAGTCGTGGGCGACTTGAAGCCGTAGATCCTGTCGAGGTTGGTAGCGACGGGAGTCATGGGCGACTTGAAGTCGTAGATCCTGTTGGTAGTGGCGAAATCCAAGAAACCACTTCCTGTCTGAGGCGGATGAATGCATTCGTCTACGACTTCGTGGTCCAGGATTCGATGAACGACGTGTCTGAGAAGTCCTCCGAGCTCCAGGTTGAGGGTTGCAATCAGGACGAGTTTGACGTGTCTGAGCAGATTGTCGGGTACCAGTTCCAGGATTCGGAGAATTCGGACTTCACAAATGAAGAAGAGCATCTTTCTGAGCAGTCCCAGGTCCACGAATGCTGCATGAATGTTAAGCCTGAGCAGGACTACCTTGAAGTAGATCTTGGCAAGTCAGAGAGTGGCAGCCGTGGAAAGCCGCCAATCCTGGTCTGAGGCGGATGAATGCATTCCTGGACGAGCCTGTGCAGAAAGAGGCGTCCCACGACATGGTCATCCAGGATTGCAGTACACCTCCGATGAAGCGACGGTGCACTGAACCATCCCCCGAAATCATGAACCGTGCGACTTTTGCGACTGGTGCTTCAGTTCATCCTTGCAGTGACAGTGTTTTCGAAACACCGCCGGTGAAGCGAAAGTGCGATTCACCACCACCTATCAACCGAAAGGGCAAGCGTTCTCTTACCGAGTCCATCCGCGACTTCCCGCCCATTCCAAGAAGCTTGCAAGGCGAGCTTGATGCGGCTGATGTCGTTGTGTAGCTTTCTCAGCAGTCTGGAGTTTGAAGCAAGGGCAGTTTTGTTCAACTTCTGGGCGGGTCATGAGTCATTTTGGCATGTGATTCGTGGCAATCTTCTTGTCTGTTGCTGCCAGTGGCCGCATTAGCTGTCGAAAGTCGTAGAAACCAAAGACCAGCCCAAAAGTCTTTCGTAGGGGTAGGCTAGGCCGAGGCTTAAAGGGCTTAAGGCTTAGGCTTCAGTGGTAGGATTAGCTGCAATGCAGCCTTTTTTCATGAAGTGAATTCACTCACGACGCTGTCTGTGATTGCGCATCATCGCATCATACTATCACTGTATCACAATTTACAATCATAGGCTCACATGACAAAAGAGATCTGGCCTGGGAGGGATGCGGTTTCAGATTGACTCGTTTCGAACTAACTACATTGTCTTGCTAGTCGAACGGGTGTTTGGCAAGCCTCCCCTAAACCCTAAAGCCCTTAACCGGCCTTAACCCTTAACCCTTAAACCCAAACCTATAGGACTCCGCCGTGGACCCTTATACCGTACGGTTTAGGGTTTAGGGTTTAGGGTTTAGGGTTTAGGGTTTAGGGTTTAGGGTTTAGCCCCAAACCCGCCTAAACCCTAAACCCTAACCCTAAACCCTAACCAGGACGTGACAATCGGACCTATAAAATAATAATAATACCTCAACAGCAAAGCTTATGTTGACGTATTATTTAAATTATGTATAGGTCCGGTTGACACGTCTTGGAAGACCGGGCTGCCTAAACTGGGGTGCCCAACCAGGGGTGCCCAACCTGCCCAAACTGGGAAGCCCTAAACCCTAAACCCTAAACCCTAAACCCTAAACAGTCGTTGTCGCCACGTCCAAGTGTCGTCGTTGAATCAGATTCGTGCTGATGAGGCTATGTGACAGTGTCTGTGGCATGCATGCTGTAATGCTGCTGCTGTGCATCTTCTTCTTTCGCCAAACCATGTATTCACAGCTGCTTCTCCCACCCAAGCCTAGTGTACGTACCCCGTAGCCGTAGCCCGTAGCCACCATGGCCCCGGCAGCGAGCAAACTCAGACCAGGTGAATGCAAGTTCTGCCAGAGGTCATTCCAAATGTTGGACCCCTGCAAAGAGAGCCCTCTACCTTCGGAGCTTCTGAAGCGGCGCACAAGCGGCTCGAAGGAGTGCAGGCCGTGCTACGGCATGCAGCAGCAGGACCCGCAGTACTCCGACATGACGGCCGAGGAGCTTGTGGCCCACTTACAGGACAGCGAAAATAGGAAGGGATACATGAAAAAGCTTGCCTCCTGGGAACAGAAGCGTCAATCAAACAAACGGTCTCGATCGGGAGCTCAGAGCAAGGTGCAGACTGAGCAAACTCAGGCCGTGGAAACACGAGAAGTGCTGGGGTATTTGTGGACCCCGGCCCTTCTTACCAAGAAGGGCCTCCCAATACCCAAAAAGCTCACCTCCATATCCCATGCTGGCAAGGTGGTCAAAGGCGTCTTGCGGGACGACTTCGCGGTAGGAAGCATCGAAGTGTTGAACACTTCGTCCAAGGCTGCGAAAAGAATTCGGGAGAGATGCTTTTCCGAGTCGGACGAGGAAAATGATCATGCGAGTGAAGCTGTCTTCGAGGGCTTTCAATCGAAATTGAAAGCCAAGGTGCAGCGAACTGAGAATCCCGAGGACGAGGCGATGTTGAAGATGCCGGGCAAGAGCTCCAACATGGAAGAGGACCTGGCCAGCATTCTTTGGGGATCGGGGCCGCCAAGCAGCAGCAGTCGAGCTCCTCAGCCTGCGGATTCGGACGATGAGGCGGCTTCCGTCAACAATGGCGCTGCTAGACCCAGACGTGGCAGTGGCAGCGGTGGTGCCAACAAAAGACGAAAGTCCAAGTCCAAAGTCGTGCCAGATGCCTCCTTCCCATCTGGGCTGTCAAGCCAACCGCCGCTTTCTGATGCTGCTTCCAATGCTGGTGGTCCTGGTGGTGATCTTATGCAATGGGTCCAGAATCCAGCCAAAGCCACAAGCAAGAAGAAGACGGCCGAGAACAAAGAGCTGGAGAAGAGCGAATCCGTGATTCTCGCTGCTCAGCAGCTTCAGGCTTCACTCGAGAGTGCCGAGACCGTGATGACTGTCGCTTTGAACAAGACGAACCAGCTGTTGGAGAAGATCCAGAATCGGCTCTCGGAGGAAGTGTTGATGTTGTTCAGATTTGGGTCCAACCTCCAAAACTCCACCTACCACACCCCGCCCGACCTTTTTTTCAATCCCTTTAGCTCCTTCTGCTTGGTGCATTAAGCAAATTCAGTTCGGAACTCCTTGTACCTGAGTGGTGTGGTGTCTTTCTCGCAGGAAATGAAGGCCTTGTACTCAGAGGCTGTGATGAGTCAGGGGCCAAATTCCAGAGCGGCCAATGTCTGGAAGAGTTTGCAAGAGAAGCTGGCTTTGGTTGAGCATGCAGCCAATTTCATCGAGGCCTTCCATGACGATGAGGCTGCAGCATCGACTTTGGCAGCGAGGGCCCAAGCTCTTCGAGATGTTGGAGTTTCGCTGCCCCAGCAGGTGAATTGCGTGCTTGCCCGGAAGGAGCTGGCGGCCTTTGCTAGCGATGACAACTTCCACACTTTCATGCAGTACCTTGATCCAGCCATGAAGGACAAGTTCCCCACGGGCGTCGGTTCCCTGATGGACGACAGCATGAAGCCAACAGAGCCCGACACCATGGCTCCAATATTGGACTTTCAGGTGGGTGCAGTCGTGCAAACCTTGAACAACCTGTTGCTGAGTGTCAAAGCCACAGGGGCCAATTCGTCGGAGGAGGTTTCTTCATCTTCTGATGCCGGTGCTGGGATATCATCAGTCCCGGATGCGAAAGCAGCTGTCAATCGCCTCGTCAAATTCCTCGCTGAGTTCAAGAAGTCGCCGATCGCCAACGTCTGCGACTCCAATGCCAACTTGAAGATCGACCTTGAGCGCTTCGAGTCGCTTGTCCAGTTGACTATGTCCGACGATGCCCTCGACGAAGACAGCTGCGAGATCTTGCAGACGGCTCGGACAAATCTTCTCAAGAATAAGCAAGGCCCTTTCAACAAAGGCCTCACCTTGTTTCCGATTGGGATCTTCTTGTCAGACTTGGCTCAGAAGCGGATCCATCAATTCAAGGCCGATATGCTCTTCCAGATCGATGTGGGGCTTGCAGTTCAGATAGCTGGCGAGCTGAAGGTCATGAATGTGGACTCTCTTCTCAAGGATAAGCAAGGCGAGATGGAGTTGGCGATCCCCTCCCAGGCCAAGATCGTCGACATGGTGGCAAAATGGCAGGCCGCTGTCGATGGAGCTTCCATTCCCTTCAAGACGAAGCACAAAGCGGAGCTTGAGATCGTCGAGAGCAAGATCCAGGAGCTCAAGACGGGTTTCTTGTCCGTGGTGGCCTACAAGACCAACCAGTTCCAGCGGATGGAGGCGTTGATCGCAAAGTTGGGCGAGGGCGGGTTCAAAGATGCCGAAGCATTGGAGTGTGGCCGGCTGCTGTCCGGCTTGGAGGCCTTGCAACCTCTCCATAAAGTTCCATTGATCAAGTTGTTGGGCAAGGACGGTGCTCAGCAGTTGGAGGACATCGTTGCGCCTGCCTTTGCTTTCTTCAAGCAGTTTGCTGCTGCATTTTCCCAGGTGGTCAAGATCAGTCAGGTCTCTGTCATGGAAGGGGAGATCATGGCCAAGGAGATCATTGACCTTTATGCTTCTTTGCACGACAACGGCCTGATCAACAAGGTTAAGACCGTGGCTCCATGGATCCATGTCGGGTTGAACAACTTGACTTCCTTTCTTGAGAAGGCTGCGAAGGATTGGGTGACAGCAAGCTGCGGCGACTTTGCCAAGTTCGCTGCACAGGTCCTCGACCCTGAGGCCAACTTTGAGGACATCGTGCGAGACCTCCCCGCAGCTGCGCCTGCTGATGGGAGTGACGTGGACTTCAGCTTCATCTACATGAGCTTCGCTGCCGTCCTTAAGGGCAAGGATGCACTGGTTCAGATGCCCCGGCCTGCCGATGAGTCCAAGGACCAGGCGATTGTGAGGGTGCATTGCTCATTCTTGTGTCTCTGTGGAGTGTTGGGCCAGATGACGAGGCATGCCAAAATCTTCCAGAACCTCCTTACACGAGCCGAAGCTTGCAAGGCCTTTTCGGGGATGTTGTTGGACTACAAGAAGGCCCTGCAAGAGAAGAATGCACAGTTCGTTTTCGAAACCAAGGCCGGTGTGCTGGCAACAGCGGTGGGCGGCTTCGAGAAGTTGCAGGCGGCCTTGGCGCAATACCAAGCCATCTCGAATACCTTGACCAAGGATGACAACATGGAGCACGGCACGATTCTGAACTACTACAAGAAGCTCCTGGCCCACATCAAGGCTTCCTTCCAGCAGATGCTGTCCGTGGGCCGTGCGGATTTGGAGGAGATGATGTCAAGTGGCAAGGACATGTTCAGTAATGTTCGCTCCCGGTTTGAGGTCCGTGCTCTTTTCCAGGCCGACCCCCTCAACAAGCAGTCCATCCAGTCTCTCTTCAAAGATGAGAAAGTTCAGTTATTGGCAATCTTTGCCCCGAAGGCAAAGGACTTTCTGACGTCTACGGGCATATGGGTGAAAGGCATTCGTTCGTTTCCCCTCGCTACAGAGGGCAACGAAGCAGCAATGACTCAGGAATGTCATCAGCTGGCAACAGCTGTTCAGCAAGACGCCCAATTCTTTCAGAGAGTCGATGCCAATGATGAGAACCCGAGCTTGGTGAACCTCACCGAGTTTCAGATGAATGTTACCATGGCGCAAGCCCTCACTCGAGATCTTCTAGCAGGAGAGACGAGAGTTGGATTAGTGAATCGGTGCTACAATCTCGTGAAAGTGGGGGAGCTTCCTTTGGACAAAAGTTTGAGGCAGCGAGCCTTGACAATGATCAAAGGCAAGTAAACACTAGGTTTCGGAGCAGGTGTCGGATCAAAGGTCCGATTTTTGCCTGCTTTTGGGTTACGTGGGGATAGCCATGTACCGTATAGTATCGGCACTGGCCTTGGCAATGTCGGACGGCGGACTCGAATGAATGAATGAATGAATAGGCAGCTTAGGCATAGGCTACATCACTTCACTTAGATGTTTCAAACGGGCTCTGGGGCTCTGCTGGGTTCGAGTCGGCTGCTGATCTGGATCTACGTCTCGATGGGCCGAGCGAAACATTGGAGCGATGGAACCGTCTGAGCCTTAGACTTCGACCTTATGTGAACTTATTTGATAAGCCTTGCCAGCCCTAAGTCAAATCTCCGGAAATAAGTGACAAACCCACCCCAAAATAAGAGACAAATCCAACCCCGAAATAAGAGACAAATCCCCGAAGATAAGGGTCAAATCCACCCCCAAATAAGAGACAAATCCACCCCGAAATAAGAGACAAATCCCCAAAGATAAGGGTCAAATCCACCCCCAAATAAGCGACAAATCAACCCCGAAATAAGAGACAAATCCACCCCGAAATCCACGTAAAGAAAACGTGTCAGAGCCCAGTCCCAA